AGAAATCCCTTGCATTCCTATACACTAACAGTGAGAAAACAGAGAAATTAAGGAAACAATACCATTCACCATTGCAACAAAAAGAATAAAATACTTAGGAGTATATCTACCTAAAGAAACAAAAGACCTATACACAGAAAACTATAAAACACTTGTGAAAGAAATCAAAGAGGACACAAACAGATGGAGAAATATACCATGTTCACAGGCTGGAAGAATCAATATTGTCAAAATGACTATACTACCCAAAGCAATCTATAGATTCAATGCAATCCCTATCAAGCTACCAACAGTATTCTTCACAGAACTAGAACAAATAATTTCACAATTTGTATGGAAATACAAAAAACCTTGAATAGCGAAAGCAATCTTGAGAAAGAAGAATGGAACTGGAGGAATCAACCCGCCTGACTTCAGACTCTACTACAAAGCCACAGTCATCAAGACAGTATTGTACTGGCAGAAAGACAGAAATATAGATCAATGGAACAGAATAGAAAGCCCAGAGATAAATCCATACACCTATGGACACCTTATCTTCGACAAAGGAGGCAAGGATATACAATGGAAAAAAGACAACCTCTTTAACAAGTGGTGCTGGGAAAACTGGTCAACCACTTGTAAAAGAATGAAACTAGAACACTTCCTAACACCATACACAAAAATAAACTCAAAATGGATTAAAGATCTAGATGTAAGACCAAAAACTATAAAACTCCTAGAGGAGAACATAGGCAAAACACTCTCCGACATAAATCACAGCAGGATCCTCTACGACCCACCTCCCAGAATACTGGAAATAAAAGCAAAAATAAACAAATGGGACCTAATGAAACTTAAAAGCTTTTGCACAACAAAGGAAACGATAAACAAGGTGAAAAGACAGCCCTCAGATTGGGAGAAAATAATAGCAAACGAAGCAACAGACAAAGGATTAATCTCAAAAATATACAAGCAACTCCTCCAGCTCAACTCCAGAAAAATAAATGACCCAATCAAAAAATGGGCCAAAGAACTAAACAGACATTTCTCCAAAGAAGACATACAGATGGCTAACAAACACATGAAAAGATGCTCAACATCACTCATTATCAGAGAAATGCAAATCAAACCCACAATGAAGTACTATTACACGCCAGTCAGGATGGCTGCTATCCAAAAGTCTACAAGCAATAAATGCTGGAGAGGGTGTGGAGAAAAGGGAACCCTCTTACACTGTTGGTGGGAATGCAAACTAGTACAGCCACTATGGAGAACAGTGTGGAGATTTCTTAAAAAACTGGAAATAGAACTGCCATATGACCCAGCAATCCCACTTCTGGGCATACACACTGAGGAAACCAGATCTGAAAGAGACATGTGCACCCCAATGTTCATTGCAGCACTGTTTATAATAGCCAGGCCATGGAAGCAACCTAGATGCCCATGAGCAGACGAATGGATAAGGAAGCTGTGGTACATATACACCATGGAATATTACTCAGCCATTAAAAAGAATTCATTTGAATCAGTTCTAATGAGATGGATGAAACTGGAGCCCATTATACAGAGCGAAGTAAGCCAGAAAGATAAAGAACATTAGAGCATACTAACACATATATATGGAATTTAGAAAGATGGTAATGATAACCCTACATGCAAAACAGAAAATGAGACACAGATGTACAGAACAGACTTTTGGACTCTGTGGGAGAAGGCGAGGGTGGGATGTTTCGAGAGAACAGCATGTATATTATCTAGGGTGAAACAGATCACCAGCCCAGGTTGGATGCATGAGACAAGTGCTCGGGCCTGGTGCACTGGGAAGACCCAGAGGAATCGGGTGGAGAGGGAGGTGGGAGGGGGGACCGGGATGGGGAATACATGTATCTCCATGGCTGATTCATGTCAATGTATGACAAAACCCACTGCAATGTTGTGAAGTAATTAGCCTCCAACTAATAAAAATAAATGGAAAAAAAAAAAACCACTACAAAAAAAAAGTGCTATATTAGTATCAGTAGATTTCAGGAAAAGGAACAGTATCAGAAATAGAGACATTTACTAATGATAAAAATGTCAATTCAACAAGAAGGCTCAACAGTCTTATATGCACCTAATAATAGAGCTTCAACATACATGAACCAAAAACTGGTGGGACTACAGAGACGATTAGACAAATACATGATAAAAGTGAGAGATTGCAGTACTTGTCTCAGCAACTGTAGACGAAACCTCCAGCCAGCTTGAGTAACCGCATTTATATAACATAGCACTCTTTCCGGTGCTAATTCACTAAGATAGGCCATGTGCTGGGTCAGGAGACAAGTGTCAAGAAAATCAAAAGGATTGAAACTGTACAGAGTGTACTGTGACTGCTGTGGAGTTAAGTTAGAAATCAGTAATAAAAAGTCTTAGAAAATCCCAAATATATGGAAAGGAAATAATATACTTCTAAATCCTCTACAGTCAGGCTTTCCTAGTGGTTCAGTGGTTAAGAATCCACCTTGTAATGCAGGGGACATGGGTTTGATCCCTGGTCCGGGAAGATCCCACATGCTACTGGGCAACTAAGCTCGAGTGCCACAACTCCTGAAGTCTGTGCACCCAGAGCCGGCGCTCTAGAGAAGCCACCTGGGTGAGAAGCCCACACACTGCAGTGAAGAGAGTAGCCCCCAAATAGAGAGCTCTTGTGTAGCATCAAAGACCCATCACAGCCAAAAATAAAGACATAAAAAATAAATCATCTGTAATAAAAAATAAAACACAAGGGGAATTAGAAAGTATTTCAAACTGAACAAAAATAAAAACATAAAATCAAAATTAGTGGGTTGTCACTAACGCAGTGTTTAGAGAAATATTTACAGGCTTACATATTAGTGCTGAAAATTAGGCTTCCACCTTAAGAATCTTAAAACCAAAGTAAGTAGAAGGAAGGGAATACGGGACCGAAGAGTAGATGTCAGATGCTGCAGAATACATGCAAGAAGATTAATGAAACCAAGAGGTGAGCCTTTGAGAAAAGTGAACAGGCCTCTAGTCTGACCAAGTTAAGAACCCGTATTGGGACTACAAACGGTACATCAGTACAGATCCTGCGGAAGTCAGCCTGCACCCTCCTCCCCGGCTCACATCAATCCCACCACTCTGCTTGCTGTACATGCTCCTGCAAAACCCACTGGCACTGTTTCTGCACTTTTACATTTGGCTTTTCTGCCTTGGCTGTACCTATTTGTGCTCAGAGGTGTGAGGCTTCAGAGAGGGTAGCAAGGAAATATGAACTGTGTGATGCCTGTATTCCACCATGTAGGTGTGGAATACACTGTGGAATACACTGTCCACAAATGATGTGGACAGCTTCCTCAGAAGCCACAACTGTTGTCTAGATGGGAATGAGAAGAAGTGGAAACATTAAGTGACTTTATTGATAGTTAAAAAATTATATCAGAAACTTTCCCAGAAGAAAACTCTAGGCTCTCATGGCTTTGCTGGTGAATTTATTAAACATTTAAGAGAGAAATAGCAATCTAACACAGCATACAGAAAAGAGAGGAGGGAACTCTTTGCATCTCATTGTATAAGATTAATACGACCTTGATAGTAAACAGGACATCACAAAAAAAGATACAGATCAATTTCCCTCATGAATATAGAAAATACTTAAAATATTAGCAAGCTGAATGTGATGTGTTAGAAGGGAACTGCATCATGACCAGGAAACTGACAGGATGTCTCCAGGTCCGTGGCTGAGAGGGTTTTCTTGGGGTGGGAAAGAAAATGGCATTTTAAATATGAGGGGAGGTGCCAGCAGAGTGGAGCTACTCGTGCCCCCCCTGCCTAATTCTCTAGTCTGTAGGGCACTGCCTCCAGCCTTCCTCAATGGGCGCCGTCCATGTTTCCACTGTCCCATCTGCTCTGTCTCAGGATGTGAGAGGGACAGTTGGGATTTAGTATCATTTTTCCGCAAGCCCTACCCAGGGCTCTGTCTTCCTGTGGTGACCTTGCACTAAGTTATTAGTCTGCGGGGAGTTGAAGGTGTGTTCTGCTGGAGGGTCCTCCCACCCCACCCCAGCCTTCACTGCCAGGGGGAGCCCTAGACGTCAGCAGGAGGGGAGAGAGGACTCGATGCTCCTGTTGGGGCTCATGTCCTCAGGAGGAGCAGGCCTGTCTGCTGCCCGTGGGGCCAGGAAACTACTGACTTGGTGTACTTCCCAGGTAGATAGGTGGGGGCGGGCCTTACGGAGGTCGAGGTCACACTGCTTGAGGACTGGAACTTGGGTAGGACTCTGCGTGGGGTTGTCCAGACGGCCCTGTGCCCTGGCTGGGGGTCCTCAGGTCCGATACTGGCCAGTGTCCCAGATGCTCAGTGCTGGCATTCAGTGTGGGGATGCAGACGGGCTGCCAGGACCCTGAGGACCAGGGGAGTGCAGTCAGCAGGTGTCCTCCGACTGCCAGCCTCTGAGAGCCCGTCAGAGCTCCATGGGCTGTGGGGGCAGTTGACGGGCACTCCCAGGCCTGTCTCCCTTGTGCCCATGGCCTCCTCTTCCTCAGGCGTGCATCCTGGGGCTACGTCATCCACGTCTGCAGGTCAGACAGCCCCAGCTCCAGGCCGGCCTGCCTGCCTCCAGGACCCTGCAGGTGACCTGCAGTTGAGGGGCTGGGGGCAGGGGAAGGGGGTCCTTGAGTCACTCAATGAAGGCGGAGCTGCCCTCCCCCAGGCCTGTGGATACTCCTGCAGCCCAGATTTCTGGCTGTTCGGAACCTGCTGGAACATTCCGGCCTCGGCCTCGGGCCTGTGCTGTTCCCTTGCTAGGAAGCCCACCCCGTGAGGTGCCCCATCCCCAACCTCCTGTCCCCGCCCCTCTGCTCACCGTGGCCGAGACACTGCCGCTTTAAGGGCGACATCACAAGGCTGCGGAAGGCCGGTGGAACTTGGGGCTCTTGGCGTTTCTGGAGCGCCCGCGGGCTCTGATTTTCCATCTCCATGGGGCCGCGGGCCCACACGTGACAGAGGACTGGCCATGGCTGAGGGCAGCGAGCTGATGAACAGGCTCATGAGCGAGAATGCCGACCTCAAGAAGCAGGTGCGTCTCATGAAGGAGAACCAGATGCTGAAGCGACTGCTGAGCGAGAGCTGCCAGGAGAGCTGTGGGCGCGGGGGCCGTGACTTTCTCTTCCCCAAGGCGCCCGCCTACCCCGAGGCCTGCTCCCCGGGGAGCACAGGTGAGCTGGGGCTGGAAGGTGGGTGGGCACGTGGGTGACCCACTTGGGCTAGTGGGGCTCTGTCCATGGTGGCCGCCGAGGTGCGGCCACAGAGGCTTAAAGCAGGTCCACTGAGGCCAGCCCAGGGGACGGTGGGGCCAGGCTGTGTGCAACTCTGCTCTACTGGGGGCTGGCCAGCCGGGCATGCCCAGCCCTCGGCCAGGGCAGCTGTGCCCACCATAACTGGCCAACGGCTGTGCCCGGAGAGGGAAGGACCCTGCCTAGGAGAGAGACCTGTGGGTCACAGACAGGAAGTAAGCGTGGAGCGGTCACCCAGCTCACCCCGTGGGAGCCCCATCAGAGGCCGAGACACTTTCTATGAAGGTAGCTGGCTCTGCTTGAAAGTTTTTGTATGTAGGAAGTGTGACTTAGGGTGTAGTTGGCGCTGTGACCTTGGTCTGAGTGGCTGGGATGTGGACCATGGGCCCTGTGACCAGGTGAGCTCCGTGTTCCCGGAGGTGATGATCACTCACTGCCCAGCAGGGCGGGTGGAGTCCACACCCTAGCCCTTGCCCTGGCTTGCCCATGGCCACTCCTGGCAATGCCCGCGTCCACAGACCAGCTGTCTTCTCAGGATAAGTTGTGCACCTGGAGTGAGATGTTTTCCTCTGTTGAAGCTTCTTTCAGAGCTACTGCTGGTTCCCAGTGGGATGCTCGGCTGCTCTGGGACCCGCTCTGGATGTGGTCACCTCCTGAATGTTGGGTGTGGTCACCTCCTGCCCTGAGCAAGCAGACCCTGTGAGCAAGCATGTCCCGGCGTGCGAGAGTCCCTCGTGGCATCTCCATACCTTCAGCCTCAGGGTGGGCCTTGAGGAGGGAGCTCAGACAAGCAGGGTCCTCATGGGGGGGGGGGGGCGGTACGGCGGGTAGAGGGGGAGCAGCTGGAGGAGCCTGGGGCCCTGTCCTCAGCTCTGCCCGTGGCCAAGACACACAATGTGCCCGGGTGACCGTGGGCAGAGGGGGGCCTGTCTCTCGGTGCTGTGTCCCTGACATGATGCCCTGCAGAGGGTCTGTGCCACCTCTTCAGCCTACGAGGAATGCCTGCTAGGCAGTGGCTGCCTGAGGCACTTGTCCCCAAGGCCTTGTCTGCGCTGTGACCACTACCAATAATCATGTGCTTTGGTCTGCTCTGTGGCCCTTTGTCCTAAGAATTGAGCTTTGCTGAAGCGCAAGCTGGAATCAAGATTGCTGGGAGAAATACCAATAACCTCAGATATGCAGATGATACCACCCTTATGGCAGAAAGTGAAGAAGAACTAAAGAGCCTCTTGATGAAAGTGAAAGAGGAGAGTGAAAAAGTTGGCTTAGAACTCAACATTCAGAAAACTAAGATCATGGCATCTGGTCCCATCACTTCATGGCCAATAGGTGGGGAAACAGTGCAAAAGTGGCAGATTTTATTTTTGGGGGCTCCAAAATCACTGGAGATGGTGATTGCAGCCATGAAATTAAAAGACGCTTACTTCTTGGAAGAAACCTATGACTAACCTAGATAGCATATTAAAAAGCAGAGACATTACTTTGCCACCAAATGTCCATCTAGTCAAAGCTACATTTTTTTCAGTAATCATGTATAGATGTGAGAGTTGGACTATAAAGAAAGCTGAGTGTCCAAGAATTGATGCTTTTGAACTATGGTGTTGGAGAAGACCCTTGAGAGTCCCTTGGACTGCAAGGAGATCCAACCAGTCCATCCTAAAGGAGATCCATCCTGGGTGTTCATTGGAAGGACTGATGCTGAAGCTGAAACTCCAATACTTTGGCCACCTAATGTGAAGAACTGACTCATTTGAAAAGACCCTGATGCTGGGAAAGATTAAAGGCGGGAGAAGAAGGGGATGACAAAGGATGAGATAGTTGGATGGCATTACTGACTCGATGGACATGAGTTTGAGTAAACTCTGGGTGTTGGTGATGGACACGGAGGCCTGGCGTGCTACAGTCCATGGGGTCGCAAGGAGCTGGACAGGACTGAGCGACTGAACTAAACCCTCAGGGCACAGAGCTGTCTGTGTGATCGGCGGACTGGCCAGGCTGGAAGGTGGGCTTCAGGTGAGGTGCAGGCCCTTGCTCAGGCCGCGCTGTTCCCCTTCAGGGTACAGTCAGGCTGTCTCTGGGGAATGGCCAGCATCCCACCATGGGCAAGCTCAGATCCTCCTGGATGCCCAGGAGGAGCCCCAGCCCCTGGCCAGCCCGAGGCCTCGAGCCTTCCAAAGAAAGGCCTTGGAGCCCCTGTTGCAGGGTGTGGGCTGATGGGCCCCCGCCATCCTCAGAGCCACCTCTGTCCCCAGAGTGCAACCTTGGCCTTGGGGCTGGACTTGGAGAATTGGCAGGAGTTCCGCAGCGGAGCTCGAGATTTCAGACGGACGGGAACTGCACACAGCAGTGGCTCAGGGTTTGCTTTAGAAACCGGATGTGGTTTACTTATTTATTTATTTTGGCTGCAGGCTTCTCACTGCAGTGGCTTCTGTTGTTGTGGGGCACAAGCTCTGGGTGCACGGGCTCAGCGACTCTTGGGCTCTAGAGCACAGGCTTCAGTAGTTGTGGTGCACGGGCGTAGTTGCTCCGTGGCGTGTGGGATCTTTCTGGACCAGGGATGGAACTCGTGTCCCTGCATTGGCACTCGGATTCTTTACCACCAAGCCACCAGGGCAGTTGCACAGGATGAGCTTTAAAAATGTGTTGTTCTCACTAAGCAAGATCACTTGGGGTGAGCATGACTACTGCAGGCTCCTGGCCCCACTCCCAGCGGCAGCCGCTGTCCACGTCGACTCTGGCTTCTCTCTGAAGTTTTGGTGGCTGTTTGCATGTGTATCCCAGGATCCTCAGTTTATGTGGCCAGGGTGGAGCCATTCTGCACTGACTCCCCAGCCATCCATCTTCCATCCTTGACCATCGGCCATCTCCTGGAGGGCTTGCTCACTGTTCCCTGCGGGTTCACCACCAGCCCTTAAGTCTGGTCCCCATGACAGGAGTGCTCCTCCATCTCCCAGCAGCCACAGGGGCTTCACAGGAACCCCTGTGGCCTGCTGATGAGGGGCTGTCCAGGAATCCTTGGGTCAAAGGCCACGTGCAGCTCAAGTGCTGACATGGACCCTGGGACCCTCTCCAAAGGGCTGCGGCCTCTCCACCTGCGCCTTTCCCACAGCTGGTGTCACCGTGGGGGGGAGCCAGGCCCCGCCAGCATCTTCTGAGGCCACATGTTCTGAGGGACAGGGTGGGGTGGGGGGCCTTGGCCGTTCCAGGCCCTCCCCTCCCAGGCCAGTTTCCTTTGGATCACCCTGGTGCCTGAGCCCCTGGCGTCTCGGAGCCTCCACTGTTGCCTGGACTCCTTCTCCTGCGTGGAGTGTCCAGAGATTTAAAGTAGTTTCTGAGTGTTCTCTTTGCCTCTTCCCTTTACCATCACGACACAGCTGCTTTTGTATTGTTATAAATACATTCTAAATAGCTGTGTAATATTCCAGAATCAGATGAACCAGAATTTAATGAACTCTCCTTATGTTTGAAATGACAGTTCTTTTCTCTTACCCTGCAGTTAGTGTTAGTTGCTCAGTTGCGTCTGACTCTTGTGACCCCTTGGACCATAACCTGCAAGGCTCCTCTCTCCATGGAATTCTCCAGGCAAGAATACTGGAGTGGGTTGTCATTTCCTTCTCCAACCCTGAAGTAAATACCACAGCAAAAGCATTTTATATTCAGAGTTATTTTCTTAGGGTATGTTTCCCTAAAGGTAGAATCACTGGCTCGGAAGGCAGGGTAATTATTTTCACGTATCTTTTTCTTATATTTGCCCAGAGGGTGAGAGCATCCCCTGCAACTCTATTAAGCTGCTCTGACTCTGTTTCTTTAAGTCTCTTTAGCCATTTCTCACATAAATCTTTCACATTAATTGGTTTATTCCTGGAGCACTTTATGTTACTTATTGCAATCATGGATGGGATTTCTTTTTCCACTGTGTTTTCAGTTATCTGTGTTGCTGTGTTTTGCAAATCTGTTGATTTGTAAATATTTAGCCTATATCCAGGCCCCTTATCATAGTTTGCTTACTTTATATTTTTATTTTTACTTTTGGCCACCAGGCATGCTGGTTCTTAGTTTCCTGACCAGGGGTTGAACCCAGGCCCTGGGCAGTGAAAGCGTGGAGCCCTAACCACTAGACCACCAGGGAATTCACTATCCAGTCCCTCCCTGAGCTATTTTTGTTCTGCTAAGTTTTCCAGTTCTTTCTTCCATGTTTTCTGAGTTCTGTAGCTGCTGTTTACAGATTTTTAAATGGGGTTGGCAGCTCAGATGGGCTTCCCTGGTGGCTCAGTGGTAAAGAATCCACCTGCCAAGCAGGAGACAAGGGCTCAATCCCTGGTTCAGGAAGATCCCCTGGAGAAGGGAATGGCAACCCACTCCAATATTCTTGTCTGGAGAATTCCCACGGACAGAGGAGCCTGGCGGGCTACAGCCCATGGGGTCGCAAAGAGTTGGACACATCTTAGCAACTGAACAACGGCAGCTCCTACGCTCGTTTCTGTCTTTCTTCCTCAGGAATCCCAGGACTTTTGGCCTTGACAGGCTCCCCACTCATCCTTCTGGTGGGTGGTCGGCAGTGGACAGCCCTGTCTGTCCAGGTATCAGGGGTGGGGGTGTAGGCTGGGTGCTGGGGAAAAGCCTTCTAGTCCTTATTTTTAAAGAGCAATAACAACAACAAAATTGAAGAAGGGCTCATTTTGTTAAGATTTTGTGACCTCACTTCTGTAGTGGCCAAAGTGCCCTCGGCTTCGTCCCCACTGGCCTGTGGGGTCTTGTTCCGCTGTGTTGTTGAGAGACTCCTGGTTCTGGGCCTGAGCTGTTTGCTGTGGCATCTGTTTGGCTGGGGCTTTAGTCAGGATCTCTGGACTCTGTTTTCTCTGATTCCTATGTGAATCTGGGCTGCGGTTTTCTTTCTGTGGGTTGTCTTTTCAGGGATTTGATATCAGAGTTGTGACAATTTATAAGCTTAATAATCAAGCATCGTTTAATTTTTTCAGTGTTCTAGCCTCATTCATATGATGCAGGGATTGTGAATTGTTTGGGGATGTGAAAGAACTCATCCACCAACCACCCAGGGCTTCAGCCCTTTGCCCATAATTCTATAACTTCTAGGTTTTTCTTTTTTGCTTATTCATCTGTGCAGGTTTTATACTTCTTATTGAGTCATTGAAAATAGCTTCCCAAATGATCTCTCCTTTATTAAAGTTTTCAACTAATATTAAATTGGATATTATCTTTTATAAATATAAACATTATCTTCCTGGTCATTCTTATCTGGCTTTTCTCATTTTCAATTTAATTCTTTTGTTTTCTGTTTCTCTAAAGTAGCTTTCCACAGTTTCACTATCTTATTGGACTTTTTGTAGAACTGTTTCAAGTTTATTTCTGCTGCCATTTTTATTATTCTCTAACCTTTGCTTTCTTCAAGAGTTCATTCCTATATGAATGTTTAATTTTTGATGATGTTTTAGAAGTAATTAAAGGATTTAAGTTGCTAATTTCACTTTAGATACAGTTTTAAATGTATTGATGTCAATATACCTAGTGTTCTGATTTTCATTATTTCTCAATAATCATTTTTCCTATTTTTATTTTCTCCTTGATCTGATCATTACTGAAGATAATTTTTTTTCTAATATGTATATATTTTTTGGTCTTAGTTGTGGCACTTGGGCTTTCTAGTTGTGTGGTGGACTAAGTTGTTCTGCTGACTAAGTTGTTCAATCCCTTAGTTCGCTGACTAGGGATTGAACCCACAACCCTTGCATTGCAAGGTGAGTTCTTAACCACTGGACTGCTGGGGAAGTCCTGAGAATGCTTTTAATTTTGAGGAGATAGGGTTTTCTATTGACTCTGATTCATTTATAGTTTTATTATAATGTGGCTTGAAGGTTTTGACTGAGGATTAAAAAAATTGTTTTATGTTTAACACAACTTTATTAAGGCTTGGGAATAACAGAAGGGAATTTCAATTCACTAAATAGAAACTAAAAGTGAAGTGCAAACACGCCTGACCACACAACAATCCCTTTAAAATTAGGTCACAGATATGGCTCTTCCCGAAGCCCACGAGTAGAGTTTTCCCGGCCCCTGCCCATGGCTGGGATGGCCCACCTCCCCTGGGAATATGTGAGTCCTGAGCAAAGGGGACCAGGCTCCTGGGACTGAGCTAGAGGAAGAACAAGCACCGGGGGCCTTTGCTGCCTCACCGCTGTGACTTCCTGACAGTTCCTGGACCATAAGTCTGGCAGGGGACACACATGAGGGATGCTGATCACTGCTCTGCTTTTACAAGGAATACTGGCAACAGTGCCATGTGCATCAGGGCGGGTGGATGAAAAAAATCCATGTGTGTGTGCATGTATGTGCAGATGTGTGCCCATGTATGCACGTGTGTCAGGAGATGGTTAAGTGAACCATAGAGCTACCCAATGACACACTCATCATGGATAAATCTCAAAAAAAGAAGTTTCATAATAAAAGGTGCTGGATGATACCATTTATGTAAAATTTAAGACGCACATATAAGTCACTGTCACAGTGTGTGGACACATTGTGTTGGAGGCCACACACGTGATGTGCCTCTGGACCTGGAGCTGCTGGTGTCCTGGGATCCATTGCCTCCTCCAGAGGGGAAGTGGGGACAGGTGTTAGAGCTGGGAGCAGGGTCTCTGTAAGACATGGGTGCTCCAGGAGCCTCCACCTCACAGCTTCTTCCTCCCTCCCTGCCCCAGTTCCAGACTTTGGAAGGTTTGCCAGCGGCCCTGATGCACCCTCCCAGCTGCAGGGGTCCTCCCTGGAAGACCTGCTGTGCTCACACGCCCCCGTCTCCAGCGAGGATGATGCCTCCCCGGGCTGTGTGACGTCCTCACAGGTGCCCTTCAAGGCTTTCCTCAGCTCCCCGGAACTGCGTGTCCCCCGAGGCTCTGACCGAAAGCTGTCCCCACTTCTGAGCCCCTTGCAGGACCCGCTGGTGGAGAAGACCCTGATGGAGACCCGGGATGTGGGCCGGCCCAAAAAGGTGTGCTTCTCAGAAAGCAGCCTGCCCTCCGGGGACCGAACCAGGAGGAGCTACTACCTGAATGGTGAGGAGGGTGAGGAGCAGGTAGGAGTGGAGGGTTGGCCGCTGGGGAGGGTGGTCAGGGCCCAGCTTCTGCATCCAGCCTGCAGCAGCAGGAGGAGAGTGTGCCCATGCTCCTGGGGTCCGGGGCCCTGTCTGTACACATCTTTTGACCATTTAAATAAGTGAGTAGCTTATCTTCTTATGATTGAGTTGTGTATTCTGGATACCAGACTTTTTTGGTACATGTTTTGCAGACATGATCCATGAAAGGGGAGGGGGTGTCCTTCCCTCCTCCAGTGGACTACATTCTGTCAGAACTTTTCACTATGACCCACCCATCCTGGATGGCCCTGCAAGGCATGGCTCATAGCTTCATTAAGTTATGCAGGCCTCTTTGCCATGACAAGGCTGCAATTCTGCTTCATTGACTACACTAAAGCTTTTGACTGTGTGGATCACAATAAACTGTGGAAAATTCTGGAAAGTAAACTGTGGAGATGGGAATACCAGACCACCTTACCTGTTTCCTGAGAAACCTGTATGCAGGACAAGAAGCAACAGTTAGAACTGAACGTGGAACAACTGACTGGTTCAAAATTGGGAAAGGACTATGTCAAGGCTGTATATTGTCACCCTGCTTATTTAACTTATATGCAGAGTTCAGTTCAGCTCAGTTGCTCAGTCATGTCCAGCTCTTTGGGACCCATGGACTGAAGCACACCAGGCTTCCCTGGCCATCGCCAATTCAAGGAGCTTGCTCAAACTCATGTCAGTTGAGTCAGTGATGCCATCCAACTATCTCATCTTCTGTCATCCCCTTCTCCTCCTGCCTTCAATCTTTCCCAGCATCAGGGTCTTTTCAAATGAGTCCGTTCTTCTCATCAAGTGGCCAAGTTCTTTCTCATTAAGTGGAGCTTCGGATTCAGCATCAGTCCTTCCAATGAATATTCAGGACTGATTTCCTTTAAGATTGAATGGTTTGATCTCTTTGCAGTCCAAGGGATGCTCAAGAATCTTCTCTAACACCACAGTTCAAAAGCATTAATTTTTCAGTGCTCACCTTTCTTTATGGTCCAGCTCTCACATCCATAAATGACTACTGGAAAAACCATAGCTTTGACTAGACGGATCTTTGTCAGCAAAGTAATGTCTCTGCTTTTTAATACACTGTCTAGGTTGGTCATAGCTTTTCTTCCAAGGAGCAAGTGTCTTTTAATTCCATGGCTGCAGTCACCATCTGCAGTGATTTTGGAGCCCAAGAAAACAGTCTCTCCATTTGTTTGGAAAACAATCTCTCCATTGTTTCCATTGTGTCCCATCTATTTGCATGAAGTGATGGGACTGAATGCCATGATGTTCGTTTTTTGAATGTTGAATTTTAAGCCAGATTTTTCACTCTCCTCTTTCACTTTCATCAAGAGGCTCTTCAGTTCCTCTTTGCTTTTTGCCATAAAGGTGGGATCATCTGCATATCTGAGGTTATTGATATTTCTCCCAGCAATCTTGATTCCAGCTTGTGCTTCATCCAGCCCAGCATTTCACATGATGTACTCTGCATATGATTTAAATAAGCAGGGTGACAATATACAGCCTGGATGTACTCCTTTTCCTATTTGGAACCAGTCCATTGTTCCATGTCTGGTTCTACATGCAGAGTACATCATATAAAATGCTGGGCAGGATAAATCACAAACTGGAATCAAGATTGCCGGGGGAAATATCTCCAGGAGTTTGCTCAAATTCTTGTCCATTGTGTTGGTGATGCTATCTAACCACCTCATACTGCCCCCTTTTCCTTTTGCCTTCAATCTTTCCTAGCATCAATGTCTTTTCCAGTGAGTCAGCTCCGTGCATCAGGTTACCGGAGTTTTGGAGCTTCAGTGTCAACATCAGTCCTTCCAGTGAATACTCAGGGTTGATTGCCTTTAGGATTGACTGGTTTGATCACCTTGCCATCCAAGGGACTCTCAAGAGTCTTCTCCAGTACCACAGTTCAAAAGCATCAATTCTTGGGCTTTCAGCCTTCTTTATGGTCCAACTCTCACATCCATATGTGAATATTGGAAAAACCATAACTTTGATCATATGGACCTTTGTTGACAAAGTGATATCTCTGCTTTTTAATATGCTGTCTAGGTTTGTCATAGCTTTTCTTCCAAGGAGTAAGCTTCTTTTTGTTTTATGGCTCCAGTCAGTGTCTGCAGTGATTTTGGAGCCCAAGAAAAGAAAATCTGTCACTGCTTCCAATTTTTCCCTTCTATTTGCTATGCTCAAAATCCCTCAAGCTAGGCTTCAGCAGTATGTGAACCATGGACTTCTAGAGGTACAAGCTGGATTTAGAAAAGGCAGAGAAACCAGAGATCAAATTGCCAACATCTGTTGGATCATAGAAAAAGCAAGGGAATTCCAGAAAAACATCTACATCTGCTTCATTGACTACACAATTATCATCTTTGTTCAGTGGTCTTTCATGTTACTATTGTAATTGCTTTGGGATACCAAGGACTACGCCCATGCAAGACAGAAAACTTAATGCGTAAGTGTTGTGGGTGTTCTGACTGTTCCACTGACCAGCTCTCCTCCATCCCTCTCCCTCTGCTGGGACCTCCCTTGTCTCTGAAACACAACAGTATTGAAATTAGGTCAGTTAATAACCCTCCAGTGGCCTCTTAAGTGTTCAAGTGAAAGGAAGAGTTACACACCTCTCACTTTAAATCAAAACGTAGAAATGATGAAGCTAAGTGAGGAAGGCATGTCAAAAGCCAAGGTGGGTTGAAAGCTGGGCCTGTTGTGCCAACAGTCAAGCTGTGAATGCGAAGGAAAGTTCTTGAAGGAAATGAAAAGTGCTACAGTGAGCACACAAATGATAAGGAAGCACAACAGCTTCATTGCAGATACAAAGAAAGTTTTAGTGGTCTGGGTAGAAGATCAAACCAGCCATACCATTCCCTTAAGGCAAGGCCTCCTCCAGAGCAAGACCCCAACCCTCTTCAGCTCTGTGAAGGCTGAGAGAGCTGCAGAAACTGCAGAAGAGAAGTTAGAAGCCAGCAGAGGTTGGTTCATGAGGTTTAATGAGAGAAGCCATTTTATAACATCAAAATGCAAAGCGAAGCATCAAGGGCTGGTGTAAAACCTGCAGCAAGTTGTCCAGAAGATTCAGCTCAGATAATTCATGAAGGTGGCTGCACTAAAGGACAGATTTTCAATGTAGAGGAAACAGCTTTCTTTTGGAAGAAGATTCTATCTAGAACTTTATAGCCAGAGAGTAGAAGTAAGGGCCTGGCTTCAAAGCTTCAAAGGACAGGCTGATTCTCTTTTTAGGGGCTAATGCAGCTGGTCACTTGAAGTTGAAGCCAGTGCTCATTTATCATCTAAAAGAATTATGCTACATCTACTCTGCGTGTGTTCTGTAAATGGACAACAAAGCCTGGATGACAGCATATCTATTTGCAAAATGGTTCACTGAATATTTTAAGCCCACTGTTGAGACCTACTGCTCAGGAAAAAGATAGCTTTCAAAATATTCCTGCTCATCGATGATGCACCTAGTCACCCAAGGTCTCTGATGCAGATGGACAAGGAGATTAAAGTTGTTTACATGCTGCTAAGGCACATCCATTCTGCCCATGTATCAAGGAGCATTTGACTTTCAAGTCTTATTACTGAAGAAATATACTTCATAGGGTCTTCCCTGGTGGCTCAGATGGTAAAGAATCTGCCTGCAATGTGGGATACCTGGGTTCCATCCCTGGGTTGGGAAGATGCCCTGGAGGGGGGCATGGCAACCCACTCCAGTATTCTTGCCTGGAGAATTCCATGGACAGAGGAGCCTGGCAGGCAACAGTCCATGGGGTCACAAAGAGCAGGACACGACTAAGCCATTGACCACAGCACAGCACAGCACACACTTCATAAGGCCATAGCTGCCATAGATAGCAGTTCCTCTGAGGGCTCTGAAACTTTCTGGAAAAGATTCACCATTCTAGGTGCCACTGAGATCATTCATGATTCATGGGAAGAGGTCAGAAGATGGACATTAACAGGAGTCTGGAAGAAGTTGATTCCAGCCCTCATGGATGACTTGAAGGGATTCAAGACTGCACTGGAGGGTGTAGCTGCAGATGTGGCGGGAACATCATGAGATCTGTAATTAGAAGTGGAGTCGGAGATATGACTGAACTGCTGCACTTGCAGATAAAGCCTTCACACAGGAGGAGCTGCTTCCTATGTGTGAGCTAGGAAGGTGGTTTCTTGAGGTGGAATCTACTCCTGGTGAAGATGCTGAAACGACAACAAAGATTTAGAACAGTACGCAAACTTAGTTGAGAAAGCAGTGGCAGGGTTTGAGAGGGTTCACTTTAATTTTGAAAGAAGTTCTATTGTGGGTAAAATGCTCTGAAATAGCATTTCATGCTACAGAGAAATTATTCCTGAAAGGAAGAGTCAACCAATATGGCAAACATCATTGTTACCTTTTTAAAGAAATTGCCACACGAACCCCAACTTTCATCAACCACTGTCTGACCAGTCAGAATCTGTCAACACTGAGGCAGGACCCTCCACCAGCAAAAAGGTTATGTCTCACTGAAGGCTTAGAGGATGGTTAACATTTTTTAGCAATAAAGTATTTAAAAGTTAAGGCATGTACATTTTTTTAGACATAATGTTATTGCACATTATAGACTACACTGCAGTGTAAACCTAACTTTCGTGTGCACTGAGAAACTGAACAATTCACGTGACTTGCTGTCTTTTTTTTCTTTTTTTTTGGTTATCCTTTTTTTTTTTTTTTTAAATACACGACTTGCTTTCATGTGGTATTTGCTTTATTGTGGTGGTCTGGAACTGAAACCAACAAAATGTCCAAGGTATGCCTGTATATCTCTCCATTTTTTTAGTTCTTTAAAAATACCTTTCAGTAATATTTTATAGCTTCTATGTGCAGATCTTGCACATTTTTGTTGAATTTACCCTTTAGTATTTCATGTTTTTGATGCTATAATGAATAGTACTTTTTATCAATATGCATTTCTGATTATTTCTTTCTAATATATAATACCACAATTGATTTTGTATATTTATCCCATGATGGTCAACTTGACTGGGCCATTAGGTGCCCAGATATTTGGTCAAACATTATTCAAGGTAGTCTATGAGAATGTTTTTAGATGAGTTTAATATTTAAGTCAATAGAATGAATAAAGCATATGGGCCTCCTGAATGTGGGTAGGCCTCATACAATCAGTTGAGGGCCTGAGTAGGATAAAAAAGGCTGACTGTCTCCCAAGTAAGAGAAAATTCCTCCTGCCTGACTGCCTTTGGATTGCAACTGAAATCTCAGCTCTTCTTGGGTCTCAAGCCTCCAGTCCTTTAAACTGGAGCCACACCATGGGTTCCCTTGTTTCTCAGACCTTGAACTCAGACTGGGACTACATCATCAGCTCTTCTGAGCCTCCAGCTTGCTGACTCACCATTGTAGATCTTGGGATGTGTCAATTTTCATAACTGCATGAGCCAATTCCTTTTAATAAACACACAGAGACACACACAGACACAGACACACACACACATATGGTTCTATCTGTAAAATCTATGGTGATACCATCTTTCATTTCTGATAGTGGTAATTTTTATCTTCCTCTTTTTCTGTAATTAATCTGGCTAGGGATTTGTCAATCTTACTGACTTTTTTCTTTGAGGAATAGCTTTTTTGGTCAGATCTTCAAGGACCCAGGTTGGACTAGAAATGCTTCCTAGATCCTCTCAGATCTAGAGGTTGCTCATTCCTTCCACCTAATTTATACTTTAGAGGAGGGGAGGCAGGGAGAGGGACCGACTCCTGATGAGATAAATGTATTACTACAGAAGGGGGAGATTGTTTTCTGCTCCTCCATAGGCCCTGTTTTCCCTAACATGCTTCTGTGCAGTGTATCCAGTTCACAGTTATAATTCCTGGGTAGTTTTTGCAGTGTTGCCAAGTGATTTTGGAAAGAATGCACTGGAAACTAGGGCTTCCCAGGTGGTTCAGTGGTAAAGAACCTGCCTGCCAATGTAAAAGACATGGGTTTGATCCCTGTGTCGGGAAGATTCCCTGGAGAAGGAAATGACAACCCACTCCAGTATTCTTGCCTGGGAAATCCCATGGACAGAGGAGCCTGGCGGGCTATGGTCTACGGAGTCACAAAGAGTTGGACATGACAGTGACTAAACAACATCACTGAAAACTACAAAGCATTGAAAGAAATGAAAGGAGACCTAAATAAATGTAAAAAGTCTTCTGGTCATGGCCTGAAAGACCTAATATTATCAAGATGGCAAACCTCCCCAAATCAATCTACAAATTCCAATGCAATCCCTATCAAAGTCCCACCTGACTTCTTGGTAGAAATTGACATACTGATCCTAAAATTTGTATGGAGATGCACGGGACTCAGAATAAGCAAAACAGTCTTGAAAAAGGAGAATAAAGTTGGAGGACTCACACTTCCCAATTTCAAAATTTACTCTAAAGGTACAGTAATCAGCAGCATGGTACTGGTGTAAGGACAGGCATACAAGTCCATGAAATAGAATCAAGAGTCAGAGATAAACCCATGCATTCCCAAGTCTGATGTCTGGCAAGGGTCCCAAGACAATTCGATGGAGAGAGAAGAGTCTTTTCAACAAATGGTGCCAGGAAAGTGGATCTCCACATGCAAACAGCTGAAGCTGGACTTCATATCACATAGGAAAATTAACTCAAAATGCATCAAAGATTTTTAAAAGAAATAAAAGAGCTAAAACCATAAAACTGTTAGAAGAAAACATAGACATAAACCTTATGACCTTGGACTTGGGCACAGAGTCTCAGCTGTGACAGACCTGGACTGGGCTAAGTTAAACCTCATCTTCCCTACTCAGCATGTGCATTGGTGCGGCCGAGGGAGCAGGAGGACACGGGCCCCCTCGCCTATCCCAGTACCCACAGAGGAGGAGGAGCTACCCACGCCTGGCCTTGATAAGCATGTGTTGACTGCCATCCTGTTCCTGCCCAGAGTGACTAGCCAGGGCTCTGGGATTCGTGGCTATGTGGGCAGTCCCAGGGTGGGGCTGAGGGACGGAGAGCAGCTGCCCTCGGTCACAGGCAGGGTTGGTCCTGCAGTCCAGTGCACACAGCCGCGTAAAGCCCTTGTGGAGGTCTTGGAGCAGCCCAGCGACTCCCCGGGCCGCTGAGCCCTCCAGCAGGGTGGGGAGTCAGACCAGCCTCTGTATGTGGTGGGGGTCCTAAGCCCTTGGCAGGGACAGGTATCTGTGGGTAACAGGACATGAGGGCCAGCTCTCCAGCCCATCTGTGCACTGCCTGCCTGCTGGACGGACCTTGTGGGGCTTCACCATCCAACACTCTTGGGAGGGGTTTGGAGCACTGTCGGGTTAGAAAGTTGCAGGGCTTTAGAAAAAGCTTTAGAAATGGGCCTGTTATTAAGTGTCTCCTGTGGGGAGGAACAGAGTTCGGGAAGCATGGGAGCCTGTGCCGAGTGCCTGCTCTCCCCGCAGAGTGCATCCTGGTCACAGAGGGCACTCCAGGCGCCGTGAGGCGGGCCCTTCCTCACTCCACGGTCCCTCAAAGTTAGGTGCGCCGGGTGGTAACAGTCGTCAGCAAGATCTTCAGAGAGCACAGTAATTTTGAAGGGTAGTGGTGGGATCATGGCTGTCGGGTAGAAGACGTGCTGACATCAGAGGCTGCCGTGGGGAGGGGCAACCTGGAAGCAATTTTGGAGGGGACAGTGGTTGATGTGCTGGGGTGATATTGGGGAAATAATCAGAATCTCCCGAGAACCCAGCAACTCTCATCTTATTATAAAATAAGCATTAGACCAGCCTGCAATACACACAGGCTGCTGAGACAGAGCGTCTCACTGTTTCACATAGCTATGCAGACTGGACCCACACGTGCTACATATGTGTTCTTGAGTTGGACTCTACCCTCAGGTGGGGACATGCCTAGCCCATTCCGAGTTCACCTGGTCATGGGGCTGAGAGCTCCGAGAGGCGTCACCCTAGACCAGGTGCTGAGCAGACTTGGCTGGTGACAAGGGGACCAGAAACCAACCCTGGGCTGTGAAACGTCCATCTCAGGGAACTGAGGCAGGGCCTGGGATCCGGGCTGCCAGGGAGCAGTGGTGAACAGGGAGAAGGGCGCCCCTTCAGGTCACCACTGGGCCTTGCAGGAAGGCCTTGTTGGGGTCCCCAGGCTTCACCTCAGACTCACAGTGGCAACATCTGGGTCAGCCCTCTCCCTGAGATGGACCCTGGAGCTCAGGCAGGAGGCATGTGGGCAGCCCTGGACCCTCTGAACCCCTTGACCCTCCTACCCTCCCAGATACTGGCTGCCCGTCTCACCAGCCCCACCCAACCCTGCCCCCCAGAGATCCAGAGCTTCACTGGCACCGAGAAGGATGGTCGCATTGTCGGGGAGATTGCCTTCCAGCTGGACCGGCGCATCCTGGCCTACGTCTTCCCAGGGGTGACCCGGCTCTACGGCTTCACTGTGTCCAACATCCCTGAGAAGATCAAACAGGTACGCCTCCCTGACTGGGGGCCTTCCCCTGGCCTGGTCCCGGACTTGCCCTAGGACCCTCCCAGCCCAGGATCCCATCCTTGCCCGGGACCCCTTGTTGCCCAGCTCCCTGCCCCCCCTTCCCCCAAGGTCCCCTGGCCATCAGTCCGCTGTAGTGTCCACACAGCTGTAGGCCTGGGCAAGGCTGAGTGGTGTCTGAGTGGGGAATGGATGAGCTGCTGCCCCACGAGCCCCTTGGCTCCGTCCCGTCTTTCGTAGTCTGGGACAGCCTCAGGAGTGCCTCGGTCCGGGAGCACTGTGACGCTCCGCCCTTTTCTGGGCTCCCGGGGTGGAGCTCCTTGCTCTCCTGGCGGTCCCTGCGCGCAGGAGGGAAACCGGGAGCTGGCTCCGGGTGGGGGCTTGCCTCTGGGCCTCAGTGTCCCCACCGACACAGCTGTGCTGGGAGGGCGCGGGGATCTCAGCCCGGGCCTCCGCCTGGCCTCCCATCCTCCTCGCCGCGCCGGCCCCGCCGCCCACTCGCGCCTGTGCCTGCAGACCTCCATCAAGTCTCTGGACGGCTCGGTGGACGAGAAGAAGCTGCGGGAGCTCACGCACCGCTACCTGACGCTGACGGCGCGCCTGGAGAGGCTGGGCTACAACCGCGACGTGCACCCCGTGTTCAGCGAGTTCCTCATCAACACCTACGGCATTCTGAAGCAGCGGCCGGACCTGCGTGCCAACCCGCTGCACAGCAGCCCGGCCGCCCTGCGGAAGCTGGTCATCGACGTCGTGCCCCCCAAGTTTCTGGGCGACTCGCTGCTGCTGCTCAACTGTCTGTGCGAGCTCTCCAAGGAGGACAGCCGCCCGCTCTTCGCCTGGTGAACCCGCGCCCCGCGCCTCCCTGCAATAAACGCGTGTTGCAACCTCGGGCGCCACGCTCCTCCTCGTCCGCTCCCCGGAGGGCGCGCCGAGGGCGCCAGGGCCGGGTGGGCCGCTGCCCGCGCTGTCCCGCCCCCGGCCGGCGCGCACCCTGGTGCCCGCCCCGCCGCCCACACCTGCACGGTGAGCCCCAGTCTATTAAAGTCGTCTGTTTGCTGTTCCTCTTTACCGCTGCTCTTTGAGGGCCGTTGGCGCCTCCCCGTGGGGGTCTCCCTGGAGGGCAGGGCCTGGGGCCAGGTTCAGCCGCGGACAGCGCAGCTGCAACGTGAAGACACAAGCCCTTGTTCAAAGCCAGGGACAGCAAGACAGCAGCGGAGCTTTAAAGCAGGTGCCCGCGTGCAGCCGGGCGGGCGTCCAGTCAGTGAGGCCGGTCCGGTGTGGCTGTCTGCCTGGCAGAGGATTCCCGGCAGCCGGAGCCCCTGGAGGAGAGCCGGTGGGCGGGGCTCCTCCTGCGGGTCTGGACTCGCGGTCCCTGGTCCGTTTGGCTGCGGGGTGGTCACAGAAACCAGCATCGGGGCACTGACTGGTGAGATCGCTTTCCCTGTAAATAGTGGAGCTTCCCAGGGTCCCCTCCTCAGGAGATATTTTTAGCACCTGCCAGCATTTTTAATGTCTCAAAACTGCCCCCCAGAGCTGGTCTTGGCATCACACTGGGTCCCCTCTGTGCATCTTGCATTCCCAGCTGTGGCCAAGCCCTGGGCCAGACCCATCTCCATAGGACACACAGCCCTCTGCCCCCCAACTTCCACACCACCCCCCATCTCCCCTGAGGCCTAGAGGGCAGGTGGCCCCCTGGGGCCCTGCGACCAACCCATCCCCGGCTCCTCCTCTGCCGTAGGTAGGAGGATGAAGGTGCCAGGATGCCTGTCCCTTGTTCCCCACAGCCTGGCATGTCCCAGATGCCCCGGCTCCTCAGACCCCTGTCTCAGTCAGCTTGGGCGCCGTAACAAACACCGCCGCCAGGGCGGATTGAACAGTAGACATTTATCATCTCACAATCCTGGAGGCTGAAGTCCGAGACGGGGGTGCCACAGGGCTGGTTCCTCCGGGGCCTCCCTCTTTGGCATGCAGACAGCTGTCTCCGCCCAGTGTCCTCACGTGTCATCCTCTCCGCGCATCTCTGGTCTCATCTCCTTCTCATAAGGACACCAGTCCTACAGGATTACGACCCGCCTTAGTGACTGCATTTTAACCTCATCAGCTCTGTAAAGACCCTGGCTCCAGGCCGTGCTGGGGTGAGGGCCAGGTGGTGCTGGGGCTTGCATTGGGACCATGTGCGACGGCCGGTCACCCACATGCACCCACAGTCACCCGGGAGCTGCAGCTGCCCCGGACACGCCCACCCCCAGCCTTCAGGGTCTCTGGGCTCCCCCAGCCACTTCTCCCTCTTCCAGTTCCCAGGAGCAGCTGCTAGAGGGGTGGGCTTCCAACAGCCCAGACAGCTGGGCGCCTGAAAGACGTGGGTATCTCCTCTTCTGGCCCTGTGGTGACTGTGAGAGGGGTGAAGTGGCCTTGGACCTGATCACCCCAAAGTGGGGCACCCAATGCCGGGAGAACCACGGATGGTGCGGGCTGCTCTTGGGAGGGGCTTGCGGGGGTCCATGTGCTGCCAGGGTGACCATGTGATGGGTAAGCCTTTGCAGAAGGGAAACAGCACCACCCCCAGTTCAAAAATCATGAAGGACTTCAAGATAGCATTGACCTGAGCGGGCCCTCTCAGCTTAGGGTGCTGTGCTGCTGACCTGGGGTACGTGGCCCCTTGTGGGGGTCCTCTGGCCTCGGTGGAGTGGTGAGCTGAGCCTCACCTGCCTGCCCCTCCCCAGTGCCATGGGCCTGCACTCCCCCCCTGCCAATACCCACCCTCCTGCCAGCCAGCTGTGCTGACCTCTGCTGAAAGCCAGGCCCAGGGCCTCACACACAGTCGCTCTTGTCCCTCTGTGGCCCTGAGGCTCAGCTGTTCCACGAAGAAACAGATCCCAGGAGGGTCACCCAGAGGGTCACCAGGGGGCCCTGGGCCCAAATGGGCCTGGAGCATGGGGTGGCCTGAGGCTGCAGCCTGCTAAGGACTTGTCCCTGGGAGTCCAGTACATCTTTCAGGGGAGCCCACACTCACCTGGGCAGAGGTCTTGGCCTCCCCTCCACCTCCTCCTCTGCTGGCCGCCTCGCAGGGTCCTGGCTCTGCCCCTCCCCCATCTGCCCAGTTAATAAGAAGCCTAGTGCAGGGAGGGACCTGCTGGGGGAATAAAGGCCCCGCCAGCCTCCTTCCCACCTCTGTTGGTGAAAGGAGTGTCTGGATCAGGGTCTGGACCATGTCCCGGCTGGTGGAATGTGTCCCCAACTTCTCAGAGGGAAACAACCAGGAGGTGAGGGCCTGGGGGCGGCCAGGGCAGTGCAGGGGGCTTGGGGCCAGGAGGGCATGGTTTGGGGTGGAGTCTGGGGACTGTCTTTTCTGGAAAGGGTGAGAAAGAAGGAGTGGGTGGACAACCAGTCAGGGGTCCTGGTTCAGGTCTGGGCAGGTCGTTTGGCCTCTTGGGTGAAGATGGAGCCCTGGAAGGCTGACCCACACAGCTGTTTGAGGGTCCTTGTGTGGGGCACAGTCTCCCCTCCCCCACCTGTCCTTATCCCCAGGTGATCTGCAGGAAACTGAGTCACAGAGCACTGGGCAGGCCTTGCTACTGCCTCAGGAGCCTCTGGGTTGCCTGGGGGCCGGGCCCCGATCCTCTGTGACCTTGGCCTGTAGTCACCTTCTCGGGGCCCTAGCAGCCCCTCCACCCAGTTCTGCTCCCTGCCTCAGTTTCTCCCCATGGGGCTGCCTGTCGCTGCTCCCAGATGCCCAGCGCCAGCTCCAGGCCCTGCGTCCGGGTGGGGGCAGGACAGACTGGGCCCCTGCAGCTCTCGCACCCTCCTCCTCGCGGGGAGACGGAGGCGCAGGCCCGGCTTCATCCCCAGGTGATTGACGCCATCTCTCAAGCGGTGGCGCAGACCCCAGGCTGCGTGCTGCTGGACGTGGACGCCGGCCCCTCCACCAACCGCACCGTCTACACTTTCGTGGGGCGCCCTGAGGATGTGGTGGAGGGGGCCCTCAATGCCGCCCGCGCTGCCCATCGGCTCATCGACATGAGCCGGCACAGAGGTGAGGGCGGGGGAGGGCGGCCCAGCTCGCGCTCAGGACTTGCAGAGGGCGAGGGGCCAACGGGCTCGCCGGCTGCTCCTTGGACCCCGTTTACGTTTCATGGGCCCAAGAGTGGCCGGCAGCAAGGTGCTTGCGCTCTGCATGGGCCCTGGGTATGGGGGACAGAGCCCTATCTGTCAACAGCCCACAAACCAAACACATTCTTTGGGCGGCAGTGTCAAAGGCCAGTGGACACATGGGGAACTGTTCAAAAGGGCAAGGTCTCTGGCCTCTCAAGGTGGGGGGGATTTCACGAGTGATTCCAACTGGTGAAGGACAACCGAGGCTTATCTCAGAGAAGCCGCCTGGGATGTGGGACTGCCATCTGGGGGGCCGCCTGGGGGGAGGGGACATAAGGCTGCGATCTGGGGGGCCGCCTGGGGGGAGGGGACATAAGGCTGCCATCTGGGGGGCCGACTGGGGGAGGGGACATAGGGCTGCCATCTGGGGGGGCCGCCTGGGGGAGGGGACATAGGGCTGCCATCTGGGGTCTGCCTGGGGGGAGGGGACATAAGGCTGCCATCTGGGGGGCTACCTGGGGGAGGGGAACGTGGGGCTGCTGTCCGGCTGTGGGCTGCTGGCCCACAGTGGGCTCGGCGTCTGAGAAGGACAACCTGTAGGGCAGTGGGGTGGAGGCGCCCCCTCCCTGAAAGCGCAGGTGGTCGCTGGCGGGGAGGGGTGTACCACCGACGGGCCGCGGCGCTCAGTGTCTGCCTCTCTGGGGCCCCATGGTCAGTCCCCTTCTGCGTGTGTGCAGAAGGGGCGGGGGGGCGGGGCTCCGCACCGAAGCCCCCCTTCCTCAGCCCCATCTCTGTGCAGGGGAGCACCCCCGGATGGGTGCCCTGGACGTGTGCCCCTTCATCCCGGTCAGGGGCGTCACCATGGACGAGTGCGTGCGCTGTGCCCAGGCCTTTGGCCAGCGGCTGGCAGAGGAGCTGGATGTGCCAGGTGAGCACCCGGGGCGGGTGGCCCTGCCTCACCTCTGCTCAACAGCAGCAGAAGCAGGCACCCTGTGAAGGTCTCCGCTCTAACATCCTTAGAAATGCAGCTTTTAAGGGAAAAAACCCTACCATGCAGGGTTTTGACAGGCAGGAATATGTCCCCCTTCTCCTATGATGAGAACCTGTGAGGACAGGGTCCCAGCCATCAGGGAGCTGGCAGACTCTCAGCCTTGCTTGGCAGTGGGCTTGAGTAGCGGCTCTGTGAGGGGCTTGAGCAAGATGGACAGACAGAAAGCCCCTAACAGCCTCTTTGGGGAATTAAACAAATCAAGGGGCAGCCTAGCGCATGTAACAGGTGGATGCCTGAGATACCAGGCGCGGGTCCAGCCCTTGCCTGTGGGCCGATGCACCAACTTGGGGATGGGTCTCCTGCCTCGGGCAGGTGTCGGGAGCTGGCGGTGAGCTTTGTTTTCTCTCCTCCTCATTCCGTGTTTTGTTCAGCAAAAATGCACTTTGGAGAGAAACACAAATATCCTTCCAGCCCCGCGTGCCTGCTCCCAACACTTGTGGGCAGATGATGCCTTTTTCTGGGGCATCAGAGCCTGAGCAGTTGGAGTGGGGCCTGCCCTGCCCCTGGGTGGGCAGAGGAGGGGTCCTGCCCATACAGAGTGCCCATCAGCGACCACCCACACCCACCCGACGGGGCACAGAGATGGGGGCCGCCAGCAAGACGGAGCTGCAGGAGCGGGGTCCTGCAATGCCGGCCACCAGGGGCCTGACTCGCCAGGTCCCTTTGCAGTGTACCTCTACGGCGAGGCAGCGCGGGCGACCAGCCGCCAGTCCCTGCCGGCCATCCGGGCTGGGGAGTATGAGGCGCTCCCTGAGAAGGTGCCGTGCCCCTCGGCAGGGGGCGGCCTGGGGTGGGCCCTCCTCCCCGCTTTCCACTTCCCTCACCTGCCCATCTCCCCACAGCTCAAGCAGGCCGAGTGGGCACCCGACTTCGGGCCCAGCGCCTTCGTTCCCAGCTGGGGGGCCACCGCCACAGGGGCGCGGAAGTTCCTCCTCGCGTTCAACATCAACCTGCTCAGCACCAAGGAGCAGGCGCACCGCATCGCCCTCAATCTCCGTGAGCAGGGTCGTGGGAAGGACCAGGTGGGCTCCTGGCGCCTGCAGTCCCATGAGGTCTGGCCCGTCCCTGTTGAATCTCGAGGGCCTCCCAGAGAGGGTCAAGGCTGGACACCATGTGTGGACCCGCTGACTACAGGTCCTGCCCACCTTGGTGTCCACGCCATGCAGGACTGGCAGGGTCAGGGTTCCAGGGTTTGAGGCTGGGGAGCAGGTCTTTAAGGACATTTTCCATGGACGCAGCAGGGCTACAGCTATGGTCAACATACTGCAGCATTTCCATGCTAATAGGAAAACAGCCGTTCCTGAGCCCCAGGTATCCCCAGGTACCCCAGGTCCCCTGATCCACCAAGTCCGCCATAGGAAGTCCCACCTAGTTTGAGCACCACCTCTGCAGAAACTTTGCACTGGACACAGGTAGACAAAGACACACCTGGTGAAGGAGGCCCTGCTCCTCACCTGTCAGCCTCCACCCCCGGAGACCTGGGCCCGTCTTCTATCCCAAACACTCAGCTGTCGGCAAGCACAGCACAGAAGCACAGCAACTCCCCAGTCCTGCTCTGTGCTCTGCTGAGGTCAGAAGTCAGAGGCTCCCCCTGAGGGGGAGTGAGTGCCCCAAGGAGCAAGGGCTGCCAGCTGGCCTCTGGGGCAGGGGTGGGATGGGAGGAAGGAGCCAGCCCCCAGGACAAGGATGTGGGTGGAATGCTGGCCAGGCAGCAGGGCCTGCTCTGAGCCTGGACCCTGTGTGGGGTGAGCCGCCTTTGGGGTCTCTGCTTCTGGTGCTGGGCAGGCCCTTCCCAGGCTCAGATGAGAGACCGGGAGAGCAAGGCGAGGAGACCAGCTGCACTGCACAGTCTTCAGGCCACGGCCTGCCTTGTCAACGTGCCTGGGCAGAAGGGAGACCCTGGGCCAGCTGAGGGGATGCAGGGGAGGGAGCTGTCAGTGCGGGGTGCCAGGAGAGGCAGGGCCGGGCTGGGTAAACCTCGTTCTCTGCAGCCAGGACGCCTGAGCAAGGTGCAGGGCATCGGCTGGTACCTGGATGAGAAGAACCTGGCTCAGGTGTCCATGAACCTCCTGGACTTTGAGGTCACAGGGCTGCACACAGTCTACGAGGAGACCTGCAGAGAAGCCCAGGTGAGCGGGGCAGGTCCTCCCCATATTCCCAAGCCCAGCTGCCTGGGCACTGATGCCTTGATCTCTGACCTCCACCCTCCGCCCTCCGCAGGAACTGAGCCTTCCAGTGGTGGGCTCACAGCTGGTGGGCCTGGTGCCTCTGAAGGCCCTGCTGGACGCGGCCGCCTTCTATTGCGAGCAGGAGAATCTGTTCCTCCTGGAGGAGGAGCAGAGGCTCAGGCTGGTGGGCAGGGCTGGTGAGGGTGGGGCTGGGGCTGGGGGGCTGGGAGGCTGGGGGTCCTTAGAGGGAGCAGGTCAGCTGCTCCAGGCACCTGCTCCCCAGGCCTGGGTTCCTGTCCATGTGGCCTCCTACTTCTCCTTCTTTGTTTTTTTGTCTGTGCCTGCAAGTTGAGATCACATTTTTCACTTGGACACTGTTGGGGTTTTCTCTGTGACCTAAAATATATTCAGTCTTGTGAAACTTCAGTGAGAGGGGGTGCCTGGGCTCAGTCGGATGGAGGGACTTGCCCCTCCTCTGGTCCTGACTGGTCCAGATTTGGGGGTGTGAGACTAGCCTCTGCGGACTATTCACCACGTGGTTCCTATGGTCCTGGGTCCCTCGAGCTATCTCTGGTGGTAGCTGGCTTTTGCTATCCTGTTGCTCTGGCCTCAGGGTGGTTCTGTTTTGAAGGTATTTCTTAAAAAGAGCACATGACTGGATTTCTCTGAGAGTTTTTGTCTTTTGGTTGTTGGGTCTATCCTTTTGTATTTACTAATCTAGCAGATATGCCTGGACTTGCTTTTGTCCTGTTTTTAGGCAGAGCGGATGTGGTTTCCTTCCGGTTATATGGAGGCAATAGAATGTGTGTATGCAACTCTCTGTGTCCAACTCTGCAACCCCATGGACTATAGCCCTCCAGGTTCCTTTGTCCATGGGCTTCTCCAGGCAAGAATACTAGTGCTGCGCTTAGTCGCTTGGTTGTATTTGACTCTTTGTGACCCCATGGACTATAGCCAGCCAGGCTCCTCTGTCCTTGGGGATTCCCCAGGCAAGAATGCTGGAGTGGGTTGCCATGCCTTTCTCTAGGGGATCTTCCCAACCCAGGGATTGAACCCACGTCTCCTGGGTCTTTTGCATTGCAGGTGGATTCTTTACTGCTGAGTCATCAGGGAAGCCCATAACTTAATCTATTTATCTCTATTTTTGATTTATTAAGTTATAATCTATCTAAATGTATCAATGTGATTTGTCAATTTTTTTTTGATTTGTCAATTTTGATCAGTGCAGGCACCACAAAGATATTTGGTTCCAAGCCACTGCAAATAAATCGAATATCCCAATAAAGCCACTCACACGATTTTCTGGTTTCCTGGTGTATATAAAAGTTATGTTCATACTAGACTATAGTCTGTTAAGTATGCGATATCATTGTGTCTAAAAAAAACTGTGCACATACTTAAAAGTACTTTATTGCTAAAAAAAAAAAAAAGCTAACCTTCATCTGAGCTTTCAGAGAGTTGTTATTTTAATGCTGGTGGAGGGTTTGAAATGTTGTGAGAATTACCAAAATGTGACACAGAGGCACAGAGTGAGCAAATGTTATTGGAAAAAGGGTGCCCATAGACTAGTTTGAAGCAGCGTTGTTACAAAATTTGTCAAAAACTCACTGTGAAGCTTGAGGTCTGCGCTCTGCAGACTGCTTGCTGTGCATATGAGAAAGTAACTCTTGATGTTTGCCCCCGTCTTTTCTCCCTTCTCTAGTTCCCGGTTTTTTAGAGCTGTGTCATTTTTTTTTTTAGGGAGTTGGTCCTTTTAAATATTTTTTCAGCTTTTGAAATTATGGTAAAATACACATGACATAAAATTTCCCATCTTAGCCATATTTAAGCGTGCTGGTCAGTGGTATTAAGGACGTTTGTGAAGTTGTACAGCCATCACCACCGTCCAGGATGGGTTTTCCTGTTTCTCTGAAAGGTACTGTCAGAAAGGTATTGCTCATACTGCCCCCTCTGGTCACTGGTTGGAGCTCCATATCACGGCACCATCTTCCCACCCTGGACTTGGGCTGTGTCCCCGTCAGTGTCTGTAGCTCCTTTCAGCATGTTTTGTAGTTCTCATTGCAGTCTTTCACCTCCTTGGTGAGGTTAATTAATTCCTAAGTATTTCATTTTTTTTTTTGGATGCTACTGAAAATGGAATTATTTTTGTAATTTGTTCTTCAGTGTTCATTCATCGTCAGTGTTCAGAAATGCACTGATCTTTGGGGTTGACTGCGTCCTCCTCGCTGAATTCATTTGTTAGTTCTTGGTGGTTAACTTTCTAAGTCTGCATAGTATACTTACTCCTTTAGCTCTTAATCAGGGTTAGAATGTCTCTTGACTCTTGGTGAAGAAAGACAAGAAAATTAGTGCACTGTGTGAGCTGTCGTTGCTGGTCCAGATTTAAATTGCTTTGTTGTTATTTTTACATTGTCTGAAGTATACCATTTACCTTCTGTAAACATAGCCACATGAATTAAATATACATAGATATTTAAGTTTGGTTCTGGACTTAAGTGAGGTCACTGTGCATCTCTGTCCTTTTCCCTGTCTATTGCCTAGATTTCACAGTCAAGCAGGTTTTTGAAGAAAGGCTCAAGGGTTTATTCTGTAGGTTCTATTATGTTTGGGAATGTCTTTGTGTGATTTCATTCTTTCAAAACAGTAGGACAACCAAAAAGCTTCCCTGGTGGCTCAGTGACACGTGACAATGCAGGAGGCACAGAGACGCGGGTTTGATCTCTGGGTCAGGAAGATGCCCTGAAAAAGGGAATGGCAACACACTCCAATATTCTTGCCTGGAAAATCTCATAGACAGAGGAGCCTGGTGGGTCCTGGAGGTCCACGGGGTTGCAAAGAGTCAGACACAACTTAGTAACTAAACAACAACAATAAAGGAGAACCAAAACCTCCAGTCGCTTGTTTTTCTCCTGAGAATGTTGCAGGCACATCTTTGCCACCTTTGGAATAAATGTCACTGTGTATATGCAGGGGGAGTCTAAGGCCGTCTGGTAACTTCCACATCCCTGCTGACCGGTTCTTTCTCCCTGATGCTTGAAGAACTGTCTTTATCCTTGAAATTCAGTAACTCTGCCATATATATATCTTGGTGTTGATTATTCTGCATCAGTTTTTCTTTAGACCAGGGTTCTGTGTGATTTACAGATTCATTCTTGTTCAGTTTCAGGAATATTTTCTTTAATATTTCTGATTCAGTGTTTGGTTCTTTCACTTTGCAGACACAGTCACTCCATGGTAGCATTTTCTTCTTCCATATATTCTGTTTTTTTCTGCACTTTCTCTCCATTTTTCCCCCTTTGTATTTGCTGTGGTTTTCTCAGGCCTCACTTCTTAATCACTTATCTACTTTATAGCTGGGTTTGTTCTCTTTCTGGCCATTACAAAATTCTGTGTCACTTTTTATTTTGATGTAATTCTTGCTCACAGAGGAGGTGCACATATAGTATCTGCTTTATTCCCTCCAGATTCACCTATTGTTGTATTTTGCACCATTTTCTGTATCTCTCTCTCTCTACATTCATGCACAATCATATTTGTTTCTGGACCATTTCAGAGTAGATTGAAGACACTGTGCCCTTAATGCCTCATTTACTCAGAGTGTATTTGTCTATATCAAGGACATTCTGTTACACAACCACAGTGCAATGATCAAAATCAGGAAATTCGGCACAGTACGATCTGCTCTAATCTGCAGACTGCAATCAAATCATGTCAGTGTCACCCTGTCCTGGCTCTGCCCCAGACCAGGAGTGGGTCCACCTGCCTTGTTTTTTGTGGCCTTTAATCTGGACCAGGGCCCCAGTTCTCCCTGTCCTTCCTTGACCGTGATGGGCTGTGAGCAAGGGGCTGCTTGCTGGGTGCTGGTCTGACCTTTCTCAGGGCTGGGTATACTTGTGCATTTCTGGCAAGAGCAGCACAGCAGTGACCGGGTGTCCCCCTCAGGGCGTTACCTGGGTCCCCTTGTTGAATTGGTGTCCCCAACCCAGGATTATCAATGTGGTGTTCCTATTTTTCCTGTTGTTGTTAATAAGCACTCCCTGGGAAGACAGTTGAAGACATCTAAATACTTTGCGCCTCTTGAAATCCAGCCTCAAGAGTCTCCTCCCTCCATCCTTTTTCCACTTTCACCTCTCCCACATCTATTTATCATTTATTAACATGCTTGATGCTCTCTATTGCTTCTTTAAACCATAGTATTTTATATTCTTTATCTGAAAGTTCTGAGATCTACAGTTTTTGAAGTTCTGGATTTCCAAACTATCATGCCTGCCGACACACGTAGGGATGCTTCTTCAGCATCACTGAAGTTCTGACTTCATCATCACTGGGAGTTCTGACTGCATGCCTGGGTTTCCTCTGTGGTGATTCTTGGTCATGCCTAGTCGCTCAGTCATGTCCAGCTCTGTGCGACCCCCTGGACTGTAGCCCGCCGGGCTTCTCTGTCCATGGGATTCTCCAGGCAAGAATATTGGAGTGGGTTGCCATTTCCTGCTCCAGGGGATCTTCCTGAATTCTTGGTCACTGGTTTAAACTTGTGTTGCCTCAGGCAGGTGCTTGGGCCCTGTAGATGAGCCTCTTGTTTGGGGTTTGGAGCCACACAGAAGAGAATTCTGTGTGATCCGTGGCCTTAATCCCTCTCCGATTACAATTCCCAGGAAAGATATTTTCTGGGGCTTCACCATCTGGGGGCTTCACCAAATGTAAGCCTCAGACTGGAAAGGACCTCGATTATTTCCTCTGAAGGGTGGCTCTCCCCAGATTCATCCTTGGAGATGTCGTCTTCCAGGGGTCTCCCGTCTGACCCCTGCTCCTGAGAGGTGGCTCAGGCATCTCCGGGTGGACCTAGCTCCAGGGCAGGGAGAGCTTTCTGGGCACTTCTGGGCACTCCTGGCCGTGGATGGTTTCCTTTACTTCCTGCCAGGCTTGTGGGTGCTAAAGTCCGTTCTGACAGTTCTGTTCCTCTTTCTGAGGTTTTCTGCAGCGGGTGGGCTGCTCTCGGGCGCCCTCTGCTACCGTCCTGCCTCGTTCCCGCGTCCTCCAGGAGACCTCGGGCTATCCCTGGCTCTCAACTTGTCCTGTACTTGTTGCTTTCTGTTCTGCGTGGAATGTGTCCCCGTGTGGCTCAGAGGGTCTGGGACTGTGTTGCCAGCATCAGAACCATGATGTGTCCTCAAAGCATCTTTAGGTGAAAGGAATTCCCCATATCTGATGGGGGATATTTCCAACTTTGTTTTGAAGTTGGGTAAACTTCACTGTCACACATCGAGGGTCATATCTGGGCTGCTCACGAAGCTCTGGGCCTTTGAGAGCCAGAGCCACTGACTCCCAGGAACTGGAACCCCGTCCAGGAGGCAGTTGTCTCGGCCCCTTTCCAGCACAGGCTCGCATGTGGGGAGGACGGGTCACACTGGGCCTGGGTCTCCCCAGGGCAGCACAGTGGGTGGAGTTGGGGCCCGGCAGGGCGCCTGCCTTGAAGGGCTTCTGTCTGCAGGGATGCTGGTGGGTGTGAGGGGTGGTGTGTGTGTGGCAGCTGTGTCCCTGCAAGCTCCACACCAGGGCCGGGAGCACCCCCACAGGTGGCAGGGGTGGGACCTGGGCTCGAGGGGACCCCAGTCACCGGGCCCTCTTCCAGGTGGTGAACCGGCTGGGCCTGGACTCCCTGTCCCCCTTCAACCCCAAGGAGCGGATCATCGAGTGAGCAGCCCCTGACCCCCACCCCTCTGCAGAGACCCCCTCGGTCGTCCAGAGCTCTGCTCCGTCACTAAGTGTAGGGCTGAGGGCTTGTTGGGGGACCCAGTGAGGCTCCAATAGGTCCCACCGGTCCTCACACAGCTCCTGACTGGTCACAGCCCCTCTTGGGGCGGCTGCTCTGCAAACAGGGCCCATATCCCCTCCCCTGTGCTGGTGTGAGCCAGGGACCCCCCAGTCCCTCCTTCCTAGCCTAGAAGTAATGACCCAGGACCCTCCGACATAGAACCCAGCCCACCCCCACCCTGGCCCCCCTGACAGCCCCCGCCTGCAGGTACCTGGTCCCCCAGGATGGGCCCAAGCAAAGCCTGATGGACCAGCCCCTGCGCGCCTTCATCCAGGCCGTGGGCGCCCGCTCGGCAGCCCCGGGGGGTGGCTCTGTGGCCGCAGCCAGTGCAGCCATGGTGAGTGGGGTGAGCGGCGGGGCGGGAGGTGGGAGCCCAACCCGGGGCTGGTCCCCTGATCAGCACGCTGTCCCCAGGGCGCCGCCCTGGCCTCCATGGCCGGCCTGATGACCTATGGGCGGCGCCAGTTCGAGCACCTGGATGTGACCATGCGACGCCTGATCCCACCCTTCCACACCGCCGTGGCTGAGCTGACTGCGATGGTGGACGCTGACGCCCGGGCCTTCGAGGCCTATCTGGTGCGTGTGCAGGTGGGCCACCGCCACTGGCCCTCCGGAGCAGGACTTGAGGGACAGTGGGGTCAGTGGACAGTGATGCGGGGTCTCCAGAGGACAGAAAGGTGGGCAGGGTCATGGGGGTGAGGGGGAGACTGCCACTAGCACAGACATCTGGACACCAGGGGGCCTGCAGGGAGGGGACAGTGGTCTGGCTGCTCTTGGGTTGAACCCAGCAGGTTTGGTGCAGATGTGACCCCAGGTCGGAGTCTCTGCAGGGCTGGGGGTCGGGGGAGAGGAGGACACCTGCCCTGAGGGTCAGCCAGGCCCAGCGTCCCCCTGCCCAGCTCCCTGTGTCCTGCTGATGGGCCGACACCCAGACCCACAGATGCTGGAGGAAGACCCGGTCCTCAGGGAAGAGCTCTGGTCCCGAAAGGGTGGGAACAGAAATCTTTACATGGTAACACAGTCAGTCACAGTGTCAGCGATCAGAGAAGACAGTTCAGCGACAGACAGAAAGGGCCTCGGGAGCTGGGAGGCTAGATCCACACTTCCCTTGTTCAGGAGGGCCCGGAGGAGGGGTGTCCGTCAGACCTGGGTGGAGAGCAGGGGGCTCGCAGGAAGGCTGAGGTGTCAGTTCAAGGTCAAGAAGCCCCAGGTGTGTGTGAGAGCAGTCAGCGGGGGACACAGGAGAGGAAGGAGGTGGGTGCTTGGACCCCAAGAGGGAGGAGGGCCTGCTGGGGCAGGTGTGAGCTCCCGGCCGACACCACAGCCCAGAGCCACCTTGGGGCAAGACCTAGTGTGAGGGTGGACAGTGCTCTGGGCATGCCTGGGGCGGAGGCTGTGGGCCAGCCCTGCTGCGGGGTTTGGGCCGAGTCTAGTCTGCACCTGGGCCCCTGGGTGGACAGCTGGCCTCCGTCGCTGGGCCTCAGTGGATGGCTGTGTGACTCAGGGGAGGCTTTCGACCCTGGGTGAGTGCGTTTCCTGCATGGAGGATGCCGCCGGGTGGCCCCTGCAGAGCTTGTGCGGGTGGTGCCTGGAGTGGTCCTCCTGAGGTCCCCTGACAACGCGGCCATCCGACCTGGAGGTCACATGCATCTCTTGGTGCGTCTCACATGGGCGGGGCCGTGGGAGGAGCAGTTTCATACTTCCTGGAAGGAGGCCTGGGTTGCGTGTCGCCCTCGGGGATGGGGAGACACGGCCTGAACCTTTACGCTGGTCTCTGGGGTCGCACAGTTGCCTCCCCTGGAGCGGGCGGGGAAGACTGCTGCTGGAGCCCTCACTCCCCTCCGGCCCCCGCCCCAGTCCCTCAGAGGTGGCCCTTGATCTGTGATCCACGGAAGCAAACTTGGAGGTGGTGGGCGCTGTGTTAGGCCCCCGCCCTCCCCAGGCTCCCAGTCCCCTTGTCACAGTCCCTCACCCTCCTCTATTTCTGTGCTTGCTCTGGCAGAAAGCGACAAAGCTGCCCAAGAATACACCTGAGGACAAGGACAGGTGAGTGCAGCGAACATCCTTGGTTCTGGTCAGTCCCCCCAGGTGTGCTGCGGCTGAACGATTTCCCTGTGGTCCCCAGCCTGGTTCCGTGAGCTCCTTGAGGAGCCATCAGGTAGGGACTGGGGGTGTCTGGGTGCCCTGGGCTCTGACTGCCAATGCCCTTGCTTCCAGACGTGCGGCCGCCCTGCAGGAGGGGCTGAGGCAGGCGGTGGCTGTGCCCTTGGCGCTGGCAGAGACGGTGGCCTCGCTGTGGCCGGTGCTGGGAGAGCTGGCTCTGTGCGTGAACCTGGCCTGCAGGTCAGACCTGCAGGTACGTGGCAGGGCCCTGCTGCAGACGTGCATGCATACCCTGTCTGTCACTTCTGCACAGAGGCCTGGGGACAAGGGCCATCACACCCAGTGCTACTTGTCTACAGCCTGATCCGAGGCCCCCAGCCACATGGTCTTTACAGAGGGACACCTTTTTCCAGTGTCTGGTCTTCAGGCCCTAAGGACTGTACCTGCCTTTCCTGGGAGGTGGCCAACCTGCGAGTTGTCAAGAAGGTTCTATAAGCCGCCTGAGCACAGAGGCCATCGTTCCTGTATTCTGGGTCTTCCTGGCCCATTTCTGTGGCCCCTCGGGTCCTGTAAGCGGCCAACACGCTGTGCTCGTTGTTAAAGGGCCCGCTGCAGCTAGCTCCGGGCTTCCCAGGTGGCTCAGTGGTAAAGAATCTGCCTGCCAATGCAGGAGCCGCAGGTTCCATCCCTGGGTCGGGAAGAGCCCCTGGAGAAGGAAACGGCAACCCACTCCAGTATTCTTCCCTGGGATCATCCCACGGACAGAGGAGCCTGGCGGGCTACAGTCCACGGGGTCACAAAGAGTTGGACATGACTGAATGAGCAGGCACCAGCCTGTTTCCAGCCTGGGCTGTGCCTGAGGCAGCACTGGGTCACAGGGTCAGAGTGCTGAGGTCAGCAGGGTGTGGACTGCTGAGTGCTCAGCTGAGGGTGGGCCTCTGAGCACTGGATGGAGCAGGGGCCTGGGACCCACCTTGGAGAGGGCCAGGCTTCTGTCCAGTGACTCCGGGCTCCCGAGGGCTGTGTGGATGCTTTCCTGCTCGAGTGACCAGTCAGACTGCTGTCTTCCCAGTTGAGGCTATGTTCTGGGCTGAGGAGTGGGCAGGGGGAGGCCCCGCTGCCTGCCCCATCACGGCCGGCTGGTTCTGCCTCATGGCCATTGCAGGTGGCAGCCAAGGCCCTGGAGACAGGTGTGTTTGGCGCATATTTCAACGTGCTCATCAACCTGAAGAATGTCACTGATGATGCGTTTAAGGACCAGGTGAGCAGAGGCACAGGCCGGGCCCACTGAGGGGCCTGGAAGTTGCCTTGGTTCCCGCATGTGGGGCACCTGGCTAGCATGTCTTTGAGGGAGGGATGTGTCTGTCTGACGAGACAGTCCTCCACCTGCTGCGGGTGGATGAGGCCTGTCTTGCAGAACACAGGCCTCAGGGGAAGGCTGGGGCCTTCTTTCAGGGTCTCCGTGGGGTTGGGTGGCCTGGGTGCCTGCTGGTACCCCATAACTCCCTCCTGGGGGCTCTGGCCAGGGCTGGGTCCCCTGGATGGGCTGGGCTGCAGTACCAGCAACAGTGGTCTCAGAGAGCAGTTGCTGGCCTGTGCAATTGTCCCGCTTCAGCATTTGTGACAATTTCACTGTCACTCTTTTTGGAGGAGAATTCACAGAACGTGCAACTCACCATGTTAAACTATACAAGTCAGAGGCAGTTGGCACATTTATGGTTGTGAGACCACCACCTCTATCGAGTGCTAGAACATTCTCACCACTCCAGAGGAGGCCCTGCAGTGTCACCCCCATTCCCAGCCCTGACCACCACCCTGTATTTGTGATTTTGTGATGATTGTTAAAAAGCGATTTCTTGATGGGAAATGGGAGCATTAGGGCCAGCTGATCCCTACCTGCCTCTCTAGCCAAGCTGAGCTTGTCATCAGGGAAGGCCCTGTCCACCCCAGGGGATCCAGATAACTCACTAGCCACTGGAGCGCTGCCCCTTTGGGCCTGGAGGACACAGCCCCGCCTTCAGCAGTGGTGGATAAAGTAGGGAGACTGGGAGGGTGGGGACTGGGCCTTGCTGGCCCCAAACATCAGGAAAGACGGAGGGACCCCCCCATCCCCACTGAGAGACCTGTGATGATCTGGTGTTCCCCAGGTCAGAGGCTCAGGGCCACCCAGAGTGGAAAGCCCAGGGAAGGGGCAGGGAGGCTGGGCCCGTGGGGTGGGTGGCAGGTGAGCAGTGATGACAGCGCTCTGGTGTCTGTCAGGTCCGCCAGCGCATCTCCGGCCTCCTGCAAGATGCCCAGACGCAGGCAGCGCTGGTGCTGGACCGGCTGGAGGCCCGGCAGGAGTGACAGCCGAGCGGGGATTCGACGGACTCCACTCCCCCTTGCAGCCCCTCCAGACACGTCCCGGGGGGCCCAGATGGGGGGATATGGGGGGCAAGGAGAGGGGGCTGTGAGGAGTGGGCATGGCCGGGGTTGGCAGAGCCACCTTCTGTGACCTGGGGGCTCCAGTAAAGTGACGACACACAGGTGCCTGTGGGGTCCATGTGGGGTGCACTGAGGGGCTTGGGGGAGGTCTGAGCTGAGTGGCAGGAATGGGGCCTCGTGAGGTGCCAAACACGGGGAGACAAGTGGGAGGGCACGGGGATGAGGCGTGAGGTGACACAGGGCCACAGAGTACCCGGGGCCCCGGGGGCTGAAGCCCCCTTAGTAGGACCCTCAGATCTCATGGAGGGATGAGGGCCATGCTGCCTGATGGACAGGGGATCCACCAAGGTGAGGGGTGGCTGGGCCAGCTCCTCCCAAGGCAGGAGAAGATGAGAGCAGCAAGCGGCCGGGGACATGAAAGTGATGTGTGGGCCAGTTCCCGTGTTCTGGGGGAAGAGAGTGCAGTGTCAGACCTGGGGTCCCAGAAGGGAGAGTCCCAGGTACTGGGCGCTGACTTCTCTTGGTGGAAGCTCAGGGGCCCAGGCCCAGTGGTGGGGGTCCCAGGAGGGTCTCTGCAGGGCCTGGGTGGCAAGGGACGGGTGGGAAGTGGTGGAAAGTGCAACCCTCGGCCCCTCCCCAAATCCCAGGGCTGGGGGCAACAGTACAAGACCCAGACCTGAAAGGTTGTTTCTGCGAGCTGCGTGTTACGCCGGGATTCCTGACCTCCGGAGGAGAGGATTTCCATTCAGGGTCAGAGATGAGGCTTGATGAATTGGAGCTTTTTGTGTAGCAGAGTATTTTTAAAGCATAATAGAGGTAGGGAAAGCTTTCTGACACAGACATCAGAAGGGGACAGGAAAAGAGTGCCCCCTTGCTAGTTTCTAGCAAGGTGTTGTATGTCTGTTAGAAAACCATGAATCAGATAAGAAAGACAATTCAAGGCTGAGGGGCTTTCACCAGGCCCCGCTCCCACATTGGATAGGACAGACGTGAAGTGTATCGACCCCCAGCCGTAAACCAATTGACAGGAATACTGATTTGTTTGTTGAGCCACTATCAGCCCAAGGTTTGAAAAAAGAAAACAAGCTAGTCTTAGGTGGAACCATTTTGAAGAAAGGCAAATTGAAAGCAAATACATAGCTTCCTTAACATAGCTTAAGAAAAACATTTCCATAAGAAAAAGACACTGGTTAGCTCCAGGCAGGACATCGGCCACTTATTTCCCCCTGCCTCTTGCGGACCTCTGGCCTTCCTGCCTGTTACCCTCTCAGACCCACCTGGGCAAACTCTGGTCCATGAGCTGTGAGTCGATGAAGATGATGATGACGGCTCACTGAAGGGTGGGCCATGGGGTCCTGGGGGTGTTGGGAGCTGGAGGTGGAGGAGGGCAAGATGTGTGACCTGGGGGCCCTGTGGGGGTACCCCAGGAGGGCAGCATTCATGAGGCTGGAGCTTCGGGTGGTGAGGGTCAGAGCTCTTGTAGGACTGGGTGCTGCCAGGGGTCTGCAGGCTGAGGTCTTTCAAAATAGGCAGTGCGTCAGGTCACCTGGTTCTAAACCCAGGGCTGCTTAGAGATTCCGCAGAGAAGCCCTGCCCCTCGTCCCCACCAGCTCCTTCCCATCCTTGTCAGGAAATTGCTGAATTCCCTCTTTGCGCCCATTTAGTGTTCATTTATGCAAACACAAACACATGTGAATTTATGGTCTTCATTCCTTGACACTACTTAAACAGAGCAGATCAATGCTGATTTTTGTTTCTAGTTAATGTGTTAGCCCCGAGGCCTCTCACATCAGCGTTTAGAGAGACTCCTATGATCAATTGCTCAGTCACGTCTGACTCTTTGCAACCCCATGGAATGTAGCCCACCAGGGAGAATCCTGTCCTCCGTCCATGGGATTCTCCAGGCAAGAAGGCTTGAGTGGGTTAGAGAGACTCCTACGTAATGTATATTTTATTCACTTGTCCTTTCCCTGTATTTCCGTTACCATTTCATTGTGAAATATGAGACACATTCAAAAAGGTGCGTGTCCTGAGTGGCCATCTCCCCACCACAGAATCCTCCTGACCCTGACCCCCACCCCCATGGCCTGGCTCTATGGTGGCCACACCCCTGCCCATGATTCCCACGCAGAGGTCCAGTTTTCCCTGTGAGCTGATGTTCGGGTCAACAGGGTCATGTACGCCCTCTGCACCTGCTGCTCGTCCCAGCCCCGTGTGAGTCCTGCACCAGCCCACAGGGTGGGGGATCCCTGAGTCCTAGGGTGTTGCCCTGTTGAGCCACAGCACCCCAGTTCCCTCGCAGCCCTGTGGCAGTTTGGAGGAGCCCCAGTTCTCACTGCTGACAGCAGTGTGTGTCTTCAGCTCTCTGATGCTGGGATAGAGGAAGAGGAGGTGAGCATGGTAACAACCAGGTCAGAAGAGACTCTCACCTGTTGCCTGTCTTGGAACTATTTACCTCCACCTGAGAACAGGGTTCCCTGAGCAGCCACAGCCATGGCCTAAGCATCCCCACCAACCAACAGCCCCAGGCATTAGCTGGCCTGAGGTAGCCCCTGGAGTCTCAGGCACAGATACCACGGGTGACTGTGGGTGATTCAGGAAGGAAATAAAGGCCAACTGTCCCACCACGAGACATTGTGGCTGGCTGTTATGTAGCAGGAGCTGACAGATACACTTCCCAACACACCTCAAACTTCTGTTACATCTGAGGTTGACTGTCTTGTCATATTAATGATGGATTTCCTTCTCTGTGATCTGTTCACATGTGTAGCCTGTTTTTCTGTTGGGTGCTAGTCTGTCCAGTCCTAAGTATCCATCAACCTCCAGCTCCTTCCCAGGGGCGGGGTCTCCCCACCTCAAAGCTCCTGCTATAGCAGCCTCTGACTTCCAGGACATTCCCATTAAAAGTAATTTCAAAACATCACCACACCCTGAAACTCTTTCCAGACGGGCTATGCACAAGGGAAAAACAAAAAGTATGCATGCACTTGTTAGGTAACCATGCAGAATATTGAGAGAAAATGATGTAGAGGGTCTGTCCTCCTGGAGCAAGGCGGAGAACCCAATACTTTATAGGGAAATTAAAAACTTGTTTTGGTAAAAGACATGATAATCAGAGCAAATGTCAGGAACCTATTTGAAGTTACTATCGGCCAATAGAAAAGCTCCTACAAATCAAACCAGCAAGGGCAGTGTGTGAGCAGGCTGCGCTGGGTGTGCTTGTCTGTGTGTGCAAGTGCATATGCGTGTTTGTGTGCAAATGCAAAGAAAGTTCTGGGAAGGTCCCCAAGGGGTGAACTCAGGAAAGAAGGTGAGCTGGGATGCAGTGTGGTGTGTGGGGACAGGAGAGGGGCCAGCGCTCAGCAGCCTCAGAGGCTCACCTGGGGCCTGCCTGCACGGGGCAGCGCAGGGGGTGGGGAGGGGTCCTGCAGGCTGTCTGGGGTGGGACTGGGTTCCTTTCAAGGGACATTCAGAAGAACTGCAAGTGGGTTTTTTTTTTTTTTTCTATTTTCACCCTTTATTGGGAATACAGAGCAATATTACAGTCTTGGGTCATTAAATGAACAAATGTGGCTGATACAGTATTGACAAGCAGGCCTGAATTCTGGGATGAAGTGGTTTTCCAGAAGTGGGTAGGAGCAAAAACAGGTGTGAGATCTTCTTAAGAGAACCACATTACTCAGCTGCCAAAGGGTGTTTTGTCTTCAATTCATTAAGGCTGGAAGGAGTGCCAGTCCTGGTCGACCATCCATGATCTTCATCACAGCACACTGGAATCTCTAGTTTTTCAATTAGGTGTAGATAAAGTAAATGCCTCCAGAATGACTTATAAATTGATCTGGGTGACTACTAAAGTGTCCTCCATTTGTAAACTAGCAAAATCTTCAGAGTGATTGTTGGAGCAAAGAGCCTTTCATGTGCTCCCAGTTATTATATAGAGCATAGAGGCTTGTAAGTGTTAGTCCTGCGAGACCACCTCGTGCTACCCCTCAAAAACCGCCTATACATTTATACAACATGCCTGTCATGGTTCCAGCTGCTACTGTGTTAAGGTCATCTTCTGCACCTCTTGTTTTCTCAATGATGACACCAAATGCACTATAAAGCAAAGCCAGAGAACCTAGGGTATTAGCCCAAAGTGCCCCTTGCCTAGTCACCATATTCAAGATCTGTACATTTCTTGGTTTGGACCAGGCCATGTTCTGGGTTTCCTTCAGTCCTAGCCGTAGACCATTCATTGCCCCAAATGCAGCCCCTGTCATACAACATCCTCCAATGGTAAAGAAGGCCAGCTCAAATCTACCCCGGGTTTTATTAGCTCCAGTTGGTAAAATAAACTCATCTGTATCCTGTACGAGATACCGTGGATCCACATTTAAATAAGGAGACAGAGGGTTCATACCAGTTAGCGGGACTCCAGCCAAATCCGTGTGCGAGTAGCCTGCTCCGCCGGCTCCGAAAAAGCCGGCCAACCCTCCAGTGGTTTTGTTGCCACTACCCCCGCCGCCCTCCATGGTGTCGCAGCAATCTGCCCGTCTGCTTCTCCCCGCCGCCTCAGGCCGAGATAGTCTGCTCGGCTGTCGCTCCTCGGTAACAGCGGGGAGACCCGCGTTACCACCGGCTCCTTCACACGCTGACCTTCCGGGCGCCGGTGTTAGCTAAATCTCACACTTCCAGTTTTGCAAGTGGGTTTTTAAAGCCACTCGGCAACAGTGCATCCGAGGGTCCTGTGCTCCCCGAGGCGCCGTGGCTCCTTCATCTGCTTCTGTTTGCTTCTCTGAGGCAGCTGTATCGATAGATGCTCACAATCGTTACTTTCGCTAGCCCTCCTGGAGACGTGGGCGCTTTCATCTGCTGGTGCACCGGCCTCTGCCCCTAAGTCTACCTCCCTCCCTTCCCCCTGCACTGGGTGATGTGCCCCC